CACAAAAAAATTCACATATAAAATTTGATATACATCTATACATAGTTTTGATTTACATAGTATACCGCACACCCCAGCGTTACGTGTCTCATTTCCCGACGGTCATTACTCCTACAGGCTATTTACCTGACATTACACAGGTTACAAATTACTAATAAAATATACCTACAACGAATCATATGTTAAACCCTAATCACAGTGTCGGGTAAATAAATGTTTGAAAAATGTACGGCAACTTAAATTTTATGTCCTACAGTACTGTAAATCATAATGTGATTTTACTGTACAAGAAGTTAGTAATTAGCATGGGGTGACGTATAAACATTTTTCCAAGACGGTTAATAAATTATTAATACTAGAAAATCACAATTTAATAACGCTTTGTTGTATGGGATTCGTCAACTCACAAATTTAATTGGTTTTTATCTCAAAAAAAATATTTAATAAAATATAAAAATATAATTATTTATCTTTAAAAAATTTTGGTTGAACGGAAATTAGTAATAAAGTTAATTTTCCTATATCTGTATCGCACAAGTTTAATTAAAAGCGACCAATTTTAGGAATCAAATCGGGTTGAAATCATTTATAATACAGTAATATTAATTGATAGGTCCATATTGTTGTACTAATAAAATATCTTCAAAATTTTTTTATTAGCTTATTAATATCTCATATTAATATATATTATATATGGTCTCGTCAATTTTAATATTTGCATAATCTCTTATTATATAAATTTTGTATCGTGATAAACCTTGTTCAAAAAATTTATTTCAAAGAATAGAATGTCATCGAAAAAAGATTGGTTCAATGATGCTATTAAAAAAGGATTTATTAAATCATTTGACTATAATTCTTTTGAGGAATTTAGGCCAATTGCTAAAGGAGGTTTTGGCATAGTATCTAAAGCTTATTTCAAGGATGCTGATAAAGTTGTAGCTTTAAAATGCTTACATCACGGTCCTACTAAAGATGATGAAGATTCGTTTGATGAATTCATTAGAGAAGTATAAATCATCTTTTAATTATTACGATTCATTCATGTTAATTATCTTGTCTTTAAGATCTTAAGATGTTACTTTTTTTATAATTATAAGGTAAGAAACATTGCTAAAGTTGATCATCACGATAATATAATTCGATTTTTTGGAATTACTCAAGGTAATACTGCCTGTATATAATAAGTTAATAATAATATTATGAAGAGAATTTTATTATTAAATTTAATAATTATTCACTTATAAATTCAAAGACACTAGAAATGAAACTTATTATATGGTTCTTCAATTCGCAAACAATGGAGATCTTCGATCCTATTTAAGTATACATTTTTCGGAATTAGATTGGCCAACTAAAATCAGAATGGCAAAAGAAATCGCAAATGGGGTTAATTGTTTGCATAGTGCAGATATTATTCATAGAGATCTTGTAAGTTAATTTTTTTATTTTTTATCACAATTTTTATCATCTTTATTATCTTTCATTACAAGTTGATTAAATATTAATGATAATTATACTGTACGTTGAATTTAATTTTAGCATGATAGGAATATATTAGTGCATGATGGTAAATTGATCATTACGGATTTTGGTTTATCAAAATCTACTGAAAATAGCACCCAATCTATCACCGGAGGAATGTGTGCTTTTTCTGATCCATTATATTTACAAAGTCCATTTACCTACAAGAGAGTAAAACCTTCTGATATCTATAGCCTTGGTGTACTTTTCTGGGAGTTGTCAAGTGGTGTTCCTCCTTTTAAAAATTTAGAACAAAGAGGTATAACTTTAAATGTAATCAAAGGTGAAAGAGAAGTTACAATTGACGAAACTCCTATTGATTTTGTGAATCTTTATCGTGATGCTTGGAATGGCGATCCAACTACACGCCCCAACATAAATGATATCCGTGAAAGGCTGAAAGATGTGAAATTGACACCTGTCCATCATGATGAATCAAGTTTATCAGGTCTGTTATGTTTTAATTATAAGTCTATTACAAGTCTTAATTACACTAAAATTTGTAAAACTTTTAATCAAATTATTAGAACATAATATTGTTATTCAAGAACCGGAACAACAAAGTATGTTATATAACTATTTTGTACATTTATGAATTACAATATGCTAATAGTATATTACACTTAAGCACTTTAATTCAAAATACTGACGATACTCTAAACAATTTATTAGAACCACACCATAATGAAGATAATGGTCTGAGAGTTAATGATTATCGTATTTATACTTCTAATAATGAATTATATTCGATAGGTATGCTATAATTTATTATTGCATTTTCTTTCATAAATTTATAATATTCTTATTTACAATACAAAATCTATATTTTTAGTACAAAGATTTCATCAACTGAGTGTTGTAGACCAAACTAGTCCCCAAATTGATGAAAGCAATCACGAATCAAATAACACACAAATGGTTCCAGGTGATCACAATTACAATATTGATAATACTCCTTTGATTCAAGAACAAAATTTATCAGGTACGATATATATATATATATATATATTTATTGTTTAATTTGATTGATCGTTAAGCAGAATTCTAAAAATTATTAGAGTTTCCTAATACCGAACCGAATAATTCAAATGATAATAAAGTAGCAGATTTGATAGGTTTGATATGTACATACTATATATATGAAAAAAATTAGTTCAAAATTATAGTCACTAAAAAAATTTTAAATACTACAATTATTAGATATAAGTGAAAATCCTTCTATTACAATGAGTTCAAATGAATCAGGTTTGTTATAAATTATTATATAACTTATTAAAATCATAAATTTTTTTATTTTATATTAGTTACTTTTATTGACATAATTACAGCAGATTATCAAAATAGTTGGATTCAAATCTTTGGAAATAGTTTTATTGAATTACCAGAAATTGATTCTAATAATGCCGAAGAATTAAGAAAGCGTGGAGAAACTTATTATAAATTGAGAAATTTCAATGAATCACTTGTAGATTTAAATCGCTCATTAGAAATTGAATCAAATAATTCATTTGCGTTAAGAACTCGTGGTGCAACATATTATCAATTAGGAAGATATAAAGAATCACTTGAAGATTTAAATAAATCATTAGAAATCGATCCAAAAAATCCTTTTACATTAAAAATTCGTGCTGCAACATATAATAAATTATTTATGCATGATAAATCACTTGAAGATTTAACCAAATTATTAGAAATTGATCCAAATGATGCATTTTCATTAAATAATCGTGGAAAAACTTATTATAAATTAAGAAGATATGAAGAATCACTTTCTGACTTAAATTTATCTTTAAAACTTGATCCCAATAACGCTTCTACTTTAAGTAACCGTGGAAAAACTTATCGTAAAATGGGTAAAAATAATGAATCTCTAACGGATTTATCAAGATCCTTAGAAATTGAACCAAATAATGCTGTTGCATTGGAAAATCGTGGTGCTTTATATTATAAATCTAGATTATATCAAGAATCTCTTGTGGATTTTGCTAAATTATTAGATATTAATCCTTACAATCCTGCTGCATTAAAGGCAGTAGCAAAATTACGAACATTAAGCGAAACAATGATTTAAATTAATACGTAATGTAATATATTTAAATTTATATCATTATATTATTGTACTTTATAGTAATTTATTTCATATTGAATAAATAAATATATATATATATGTATTTAAAGCAGATGATTCCATAATCTTGATAAATTTACCAAAAGATGGAAATGTACAAAGAATCATTTGTGGATTTAACTAAATCATTAGAAATTTGTCAAAATGATGCTATAACATTATTGTGATTTGCATAATTTTGTGACCTATGTTTAATTTTTATTATGATTGAATGATTGCGATTATAAATCTAAGCTTAACTCATTTAATCATAAAAAAAATAATCATTGGGTCACAAATTATGCAAACCGCAATAAATAATCGTGGATTAACTTGCCAAAAGATGGAGACCTGCGAATAGTACCATAAGGGCCGGGTTAGGGTAATGAGTTAGTTGTTCATCATATACCCACTGCGGTTTTTTGAAAAGAAAAACCTACCTGGAATTTAAAATTTATATCTGCAAACAGCATTATTTCTATCGAATACACAATTATCAACTGAAGGTACCTTATTTAAAAATATTTAATTTCCATCCTGTATACGTAATAACTCTCAACTTCAAAAATTTAAAGGAGCTATTGCTCTTGCAGAATACCTTCCAGAGACTAAATAATTAGTCCCTGATAAGTAATAAACTTGAAACCCAGATGACGGGTTTTCTTTTTGCGGCATTTCTTACTATGAATTCATACATTTCTTTATCTATTTTACATAACAGCAAGGAGTTCCGAGATCAAACTCCAGATATAATCCAGTGCAAATCTTTATTGCAAGTTTTTCATTAAATTGATAACCATTAATAGGCCTTTGTCCAGCTGACATTTCTACCATAATAATATCAAATTTATAAATATCTGCTGCTTGTGTAAACTGCTCTTTGCCTGATAAAACTTCTGGAGCAACATAGGGCAAGTCTTCAAAAATATCACCCTCTAAAATACATTCATTATTCTTACTAGACAATCCTAGATCTACATTATATGATCATATATCTTTATTAGTACATTGGTCTTGCTACTATGAATATATTTTGCTGAGTGAATATAATCTAACTCAAGTGAAATATCTTTAAGTATTTGTAATTTAGTCTGCTATATAAGTTTACTAAAACTCTCACTTAAATATTTATAAAGGCTTCCTTTATTAGCATACATAAATACCATCAAGTATTTATTAGTAACTGTTAAATTTATTATAAAAGCAACAAAATAACTTACCTCTTTTAAAAAATCAAACCTGTTTCCTTAGCCCATCATTTAAAGATAGACCATAATACTAATAAATATCATATTTATTATCAGTTAATAAACTTAATACCAGGTGAATTTTATTTTACTACATACAAGCAGTGCTTGTAATTTTGAATATAGTGAAGTTAGGCCCATGGATACCTGTGAGCCCAATAGACGAGTCCAGAGTATTAAATTTTGGGCCCTAAGGTAGAGTAAGGGCTTAAAAATTAAGCCCTTACACAAACAGGTAGGATTAGGGCAGGGATGATGATTTTCTGCAAATGCAGAATGCCGCAAAATTCAAGTAAATTATAGTCTTTTTGCAGAAATTCTGTGATTTTAAAATATCAAATAAAATTTATATTTTTATTTATTAAAGTGCATTATTATTTACACAAAGATGTTTAGGATATTCTTTAACATAAGTATGAGGGATACAACTTTATGTTGTGGCATTTTTGCAATTAGACTTTTCAATAAATAAACAGTCATTTTTTACTTTTTTTAGAAAAATATACTTTAACAAAATTATATTTTTGAATATTTATAATTATTGTTATTCATAATTATTACTAATATTTTTATTAATTACAAATATTTTAATAAATACTGTAATAATTATTTTTATTAATTACAAATATTTTAATAAATACTGTAATAATTATATAATAATTATAAATATTTGTAGTAATAAATTAATTCTGATTTACTTTTTGCTTAGTTGAGCACAGTATTTTAAAAATTGCAAAAATTGCAAGTTTTTTTTTTCTAATTTATATATTTTTCAAATTACAGAATTATTACAGAAATCACAAATTAATGATGACAGAATTTTGGTTTAATTGCTGCAGAAAATCATCATACCTAGATTAGGGTATTGCTATTACCTGGCCTTACCCAGCCTATATATGAAGGCCTATGTTTAAAGAATCACTTGTGGATTTATTAATAAATTAATTACTAGAAATTAGTCCAAATGATGCTACAACATTATTAATAACTTTAAGAAAGGTTTTTCAACAACCAACTATCCAATTTGCTAAATTTTTTTATTTTAATTCTGTGGATTCATAAATTAAAATAAAAAATAATCAAATTTGAATTGCAGGTTGTTGAAAAATATTCATTAAAAACCAAAAAAGAAACTTGACCAGCTTTTTTTTTATAGGCATTTATACTTTGAATGAAGATTACTTTAGCATTTACTAAAATTTTTTTAATTCTATACTTATAGAATTAACTAAATTTTAAAAAAATCAATTGAATTTGACTAGTTAAGTGCTGAGTAACCTTTATTCAAAGTTTTGATGTCTTAAAAAAGAGGCTGCAGCCAAATTCTTTTTTAACTTCTAAAAAAATTTTTTGACAACTCTATAAAAACTCTATATATGAAAATGCATACATAAATACAAAATTATATACAGGCAAGCACGGTTTCATAATCAATGCATGGAAACTGACCATTCATAAAATTTAATACATGTTATTATACAAAAAATTAAAATCTGTGCACTATTATGCATAGTATAATAGTGTATTAACTTAATGATCATATAATTTCTATGCACTGATATGCATAATCATTAAGATTCTTAACAATTATGATTTTCATGCACTGATATCACAATCATCACTAGAGTTAATACTTGGATCCAGATTTAATTATTTAATTTAGATTTAATTATTTTATACTCTAGTCACTATATCAAGATCACAAAGCATAAACCAGTTATACCCTGGACACTATATGTATAAGTAGGAATTTTATCCTTGCTTATACCAACTGCCCAGGATATAACTATTACATATCCAGATTTTAACATTAGATCCAGATTTACGGCTGTTTTCATTATTCTTGAGACACTTGATAAAAAATTAGCTGAATGATTTTTAGAAGACTACAATTATTATTTTTTTTTTTAAAAAAAAGTATATACATATTATTTTTTTTATTAGTATAACTAGAATTAAAATATTTTAAAGTAGAATAACATTGTTAAATATAGAAGATGTTCTACCTAGATATGAAATTGTATCTAAAGTCCAAGCAGATACAAATTTGTATCTAAGGTCAAGCAGATACAAATTTGTATTCAAGTTTAAATGGATACAAATTCATCTCTATTTCACTATAATGTAATTTAACTGAGTCAAAGATTAAGGAATTAGTATAGTAAAAGTAGTTTCAATAGCAAACACAGCCTATGTATGCAGTAGAGGACAAAGAGTATTTAAGACCTCTCTTTTTGTTATAATAAAAAATTAACTTATAAGAGTTCTTAACTTCGAAGTCCTAGCAGTGAAATCGATTTCATTTGGGCCTGTCATACTATCCTAATTTACTTTAACTCCTTTACTATTGATGATACAGATACTAACTCACAGAGCGACCACAAAATTCTTATTTCTCGCTGGTCTTTC